AGGCGGCTGTGCATGGCTTCCCCCACCTCCCTGCAAAACGGTGGAGGGTTTGCCCCTCGCTGCTGCCGTCCCCCTCCCCGGCCGGACGCAGTGCAGGTCCAACAGACCCGTCACAGGGGTATAGTCCCCTTCTCCTCTCCTCCCCTTCTCTTTCTCGGCTCGTGAGCGCACGTGGGGCTCACAGGAGCACCAATTGTCCGGCTGGCTTGTGCATGGCTTCCCCCACCTCCCTGCAAAACGGTGGAGGGTTTGCCCCTCGCTGCTGCCGTCCCCCTCCCCGGCCGGACGCAGTGCAGGTCCAACAGACCCGTCACAGGGGTATAGTCCCCTTCTCCTCTCCTCCCCTTCTCTTTCTCGGCTCGTGAGCGCACGTGGGGCTCACAGGAGCACCAATTGTCCGGCTGGCTGGAGCACTTCTGGGTTCCAGTTGGTGCCGGACTATCAGGAGTGCCAGACCACTGTTTACCAGACAATTGGAGTTTTACGGTACATAGGAAAGGACAAAGTGATACTGCAGAGATGGACGGTTTCAGCCTAGTCAAACTGCAACTTCAGTAATACATACTAAAGATGAAAGCGACTACTCGAGTAGTCGACTACCTGATAAATTTAGATTTATCAGGTAGTTGAGTCACTACTACTCACGTTCCCCCACCTTTGCTGCCTCTGTATCAGAGGGAGGGGAGGGAAGGAAGTAGGACCCAGTGCTGGGGGGAACCCCAGCTGTCCCAGGGCCACCCCAGTTCATGTCATCCTGCTGTGGCTCTGCGGCAGGCTCTTACTACATTGAAGATGCAGAACTGCAGTGGTCCTGGAGCTGGCACAAGTTGGGACTGCTTGGTCCCGGCTCATACTGCCCCCCGGGAGCAATTTACATTTAAACTACAGAGCCACAGAGGCAGTAGCGAGCACTCCCCTCCCCCCCAATTGACCAATCCAGTAGTCAGGGGAATAACTTAATTAACTGCCACTTAACATCTCTAATACTCACAGGGAAAAATAGTTAGCCAATGCAAAGCAATGATAAACTTGACCTGTTGCATGTAATTTTAGGTCATTCCCAGGAACAATTATTTTTGCTCCTGAGAACCAATAGGTTCTCTTTGTATCCTCTTATTAAGCAGAGTCCTATTTTTCATAGTTATAGGGTAGCAAAGCCTACTATAGATTTGCCCACTGACATAAAATTAGGGTTTGGGGGCACAAATTGCAATTAAAAAAACCTGAGTTTTTAACCTCTTGCTTTTAAAAAAAAAAAAAAAAATTAAAAAGATCTTGCTGTTTTTCCTGCATCTGCACACAAACCATAGCTACGAACAGGCATTCATAGCAAAAGAGTGTTAACTCTGAAGTGTATGGACATATCTACACTACAAACTTAAATCAACCTACAACCCCCAGAGTGACCACACTAGCCTCCTGTCAGTGGTAAGTGTCCTCACCAAGAGCACTCCCACTGACTAAAGAGACTCCACAGAGCTCCCCTACTGGGTACCCAGCTGCCCCTGGACTTCTTGCCTCCCCAATTCCCAGCTGGTGATGTGGGTGGGGTGAGGAGAGAGCTACCTGGGACTTCATCTCTGGCAGAGAAATCCGAACCTAGAGTCCAGTTGGCTGCTTTGCTCCTGGTGAGGAGTCAAGCGTCCTGTAGGAAGCCAGGAGCAGTCTGTGCAGCCAGGCTTGCTGCACAGACCAAGCAGCTAGAACTCTGGGGGGAGAGGGCAGGGCAGGGCAGGGCAGAGAAGCAAGAAACCCAGCAGGAGCTTAGGTGGCAGCCCAGTTTGGAATGAAGACCTAGGGGTGAGAGTGACAAGACTACATGTCACCCTCCCTACACTGACATAAGCTTTGCAACTCTCATGGAGGTCAAAGCGGTGGTGTACATTTGTATTGGTGGGACCAAGGCTGCACTTAAATAGTTAGATTGACATAAACTGCCTTATGTTGCCCTGTGTAGTGTAGATCGGGGTTCATAATTGTAAATCTTGTTTCTCTGCTGATCACCAAAATAGAGCAATTCAAGAAGTGTACTTGGTCCACTGCTGTTGGACAGTGACAAACGAGGAGAGGTCAAGTTGCTGTCTGTTTAGAAGCTAGAAAGTTGAAGTCCCCTGCCCCCAACAATTTCAAGTAAACATTAACCTCATCTAAAATGGGGAAGCACAATTTCATCCTTTCGTGAGCACTCTACATGAGTGCCAAAGCCCAAACTGTTCCGTTTTCCTGTGTGCCAAAAGCCCCTTGATTTGGTAGTTAATCTCCTTTAGCTACTACAATTCAGAGGCGCCAATACAAAAAATTGCAGCACATGGGCATCTGAAAGCTGGAAGAACAGATTGAATTCAATAGAAAAATAAGTAGTTTGACGAGCACATTTAATTTACAATTACTTGAATGGGGCACAGATCTTCAAATTTGCTGTAGAAGCCTTGCCACGGAATTTTAGGTACCTATTTTGCAAAACTATAAATGGCAGCGCACACCAGACAACATTTCTGAAATACAATAGCAGAGCAGAGCCTGGGTTTGGGGGGGGAAGCAGCCCTTACCACCAGGGTGGCAACAGCGCCAGGGGGTCACCCCCATCAATACAGGGCGGGGGCAGGAGAGTACAGGGCAGTGAGGAAGGGGACAAGATACAGAGACGATGCAGTGGACAGAGGAAAGGTGCCAGCGTGGTGATGGAGCAGGAAACGCGCAGAGGTGCGTAGGTGGGGGGGGGGGTTAGCCCCCCCGATTACAACTATCCCCCACAGGGGCAGGGCAGCGACCCCTCCCCTCCGAGGCAGGACTAGGGCTGGCAGGAGTCTCTCCCAGGAGCACACAAGGGGACAAGATACAGAGACGATGCAGTGGACAGAGGAAAGGTGCCAGCGTGGTGATGGAGCAGGAAACGCGCAGAGGTGCGTAGGTGGGGGGGGGGGTTAGCCCCCCCGATTACAACTATCCCCCACAGGGGCAGGGCAGCGACCCCTCCCCTCCGAGGCAGGACTAGGGCTGGCAGGAGTCTCTCCCAGGAGCACACACGGTA